TTGCATTTCATATATCATTACCACGTTAAAGTCCTTCAACATATCTCTCATTATCTTAGGAAAATGTTCTATAAATTCCTTGCCATATTCACTCTGAACTATTGACAAATAATGAAATAATAATTGACGCATGCATTCATGATATTCACTACTTAAACTTCTAATGTATGTATCTCTTTGAAATTTAAATGCTTTAAAATCAAACTTTTCTGAATGCATAGTGGGTGATACCTTATCGCTAAAATATATTGAATCAAATTCCTCATCATCTATTAAGTTGGTCATTATTGGATTAATTCGTATACCATCTGCATCAATGTTGTTGTCACCTTGCTCAACAACCTAGTGAATAGAAGCAAACAAAAAATGTATATATTTTATTTACTATTGTTATTGTTTGCTTTTACTCACTTTTCACTTTTTTTTTTGCACAAATAGAAAATATATTGTTCCTCGATTCACATTTGTTGTTGATCAATCACTGCTTCATTTGTCTTCTTCCATCTTCTACTGCTTGGCTAACAATTCTGATAATCCAAGATCTGTATCAAAAAGAATTTTTATTTTTTTTTGTTTTATTTAACACAAAACTTAAAAAAACTCACTTGTTTCTCTCTCTTTGACCACCAAAGTACAAATATTGAATTTCATCAGTAGAGTTTAAATCCTCAATTTCATTTTCTTTGATAGCGCTCATGAAATAATTTGGAAGGAATAACACTTGGTCTTCGAGTTCCACCAGAATTGTTTTTTGATTTTTATCACTTTCTTTATCTGCATACTTATTTCTCACTAAACTAAATCTTTCTATTTTGTGATAACCAACAGCTAGTTGTCCAAAACCGTGATATGGTTTATTTCCGATCAATCTTAATCTTGCAAGTGCACACATGTTACGTTGTTTTTTTAGAAGCAAAACAAAATATCTTGAACAGAACAAAAGCTATCGAGAAAAATATATGTGAACCTGATCAACAAAAAATCAAAACTGACCACAAAATATGAAAATATCCTGCTTATGAACATTTGTTTGAAATCAGTTCTTTCTAATGTTGTCCTCCCACCCATAGATGCATAATGTTTACAATGAAAGATTTTCACGCTAACTCATATGGACGACAGACGACGTTTCGGAGTCATCCACGACTTGCGCGACGACTCGCGCCACGATCGTAGCATCGTTTTGGTTCGTTGTACATTCGTTCAATGTACACGTATAAGTCGTGTATACAGTCGTCGTTGTCGTCGTCGTCGTCGTACGTGCACGGCGTGCACCGCGTTCGGTTCTACGAATTCAAGTCGCTTGCGTCGTATGCATATACAGTACATTGAACGAATGTACAACGAACCAAAACGATGCTACGATCGTGGCGCGAGTCGTCGCGCAAGTCGTGGATGACTCCGAAACGTCGTCTGTCGTTCATATGAGAAGTGCAAAAGATGTAATTGTTTTCTAATTTTATATATTTCTTTGATTCTATTATGCGACATGCGAACACCCATGCAAACACTTATGTGTGTTTTTTTTGTGTTCAGAATGCATTCTGCAAAGTTGAATAATATTTAAATAAGCTACTGTGTAAAATCGTCTTTATGTTTCTTTGAATTCTATTATGCGACATGCGAACACCCATGTGAAAAATTGTGTGTGTGTGTGTGTGTTTTTTTTTTTTTTTTTGCGAAGTTGAATATTATTTAAATAAGCTACAGTGTAAAATCGCTAACATAAAGATATTGATTGAGAAACGTTATAGAGCAATCATGGAAAAAGTTAATGATTATGAAAACCCGCGAGTAGAATTAAATAAAAAGTCTTACATCCGTAAGATGAACTTTTCCGCACTCTGATCCAAAACATGAATCCCCAATATATTTCCTATTCGAACCAATTTATCTTGGGTCTTTTTCGATTGCGTTTGAACCAACTGAATCATATTTCAATACACGATTCAATTGAGATAAAGTTCAGAAGTGGAGAAACTAACATTTTTTCCACGAAAGAAATATAGTTTGATATTGCAAATAACGCGAGAAATGCTTATTTTGGGAACTTTCCAAACAAATTTTCGACTTTTCTCATAGTTATCTGTAGGACATGGAATCGTCCACTATGGAAGCTCAATCTCCCAAAGTGAATGCATTTATCACGGAAATTCTACTATTTTTAGCCGAATAATACTATGAAAATGCATTGATACTCGATTCTGAATCAACACCAAAAGTCACTAAAAAATTTCGCGAGTTGAAAATTACTTTCCAAACCAAAGCAATTTTGGACGTCAAAATGACTTCATGTCACTGTGATTATAGCTTGAATTGGTTGGCCGTCAAAAAATGATGAGAAATGGGCCATTTGGACGTATGGTGAAGTACCTTCTCCATGAACTTTGCACATGAACTCAATGTTCAAGCCGACCCTTCGCAAAATTGTGCAAATTTCTCAATGAAATGTCCATTTCACACATTTGTGATAGCAAGCAGAGGGTTCGAGTATGCACAAACTATCATTATTCTTGCAAAAAAATCGAGTTTTATGATGTCAAAACGTCAAAAAATGTCTATTTTGGGTTCCTCCCCTACAAAAACACGATTTTTTAGACATTTTGAAAAGATTTTTTTTTATTGATAAACAGATTGAGCTCAAAATTTAATGGTTTCTATTCCTCACTAAGACACATATTTTGGTGAAAACAGATATTGATATACTAACATAAATTCTCCGGAAATGTGGTAACAAATTCATGCGTACAGCGTACAGCGTACAGTGTACCACGCACATACATTACGACACCGAAAAAACAGTCAATTCGTGTTTCACTAGGTCTAAAATGGATAGAAAACACATTTCTGGAGGAGCAAAGAATTTTGGCCGATTACAATACTTTTGCCTTCACACTATGTGTGTGCGTAAAAGTAAAATTGTAAATTCAGCTTTCGCTCAACGTATACGTGAATTCGATTTAGTGAATAATGGATATAAGATCATTGAAGAATTTTTATCAAACGCGTTCGAAATATATAAAGTGAAAATAACCGAAGCTGTCACAGACTTTGATTTGATAAAAACGATATCATATTTTAGTGCAGAATTTGAACGTTCTTTTCAAGTAGATGAAGATAGTGATGTATTGACAGAAAAACGGGAGATTCATATACCAACGAAAAATTGTGAAATTAGTTCAACTACCGATTTGCGTGAACACTTTCAAAACAATATTATTAACCATGTGGTGAGACAAGTCGATGAAGTGATGGTAGAAGGTTCAGGATTTACATTGAGTGAAATCAAACAATTGCGTGTAAATATTTTTAAATATGAACCATTGCGAGGTTCTGGATATATTGAACTCCCGAAAGTGATAAAAAATAATAAAGCAGTTATAAATTTAAAAAACACTGGCAAGAAATGTTTCATGTGGTCAATTTTAGCAGCTTTACATCATGATAAAGTATATGCAAAAAACAAGAAGAAAGTTACGGATGCTATAAGCTATCAAGAATGGATTAATGAATTGAATTTCGATGGAATTGATTTTCCAGTACGACTTAATCAAATTGAAAAATTTATGCAACAAAATGAACACATAGCTGTCAATGTTTACTATTACGATTCGAAAAAAAAATGTGTATACCCACGTTTTCTAGCCTCGAAATCTGTTGAAAAACAATACATTCATTTGCTCATGCTTACAGAAACATCAACAAACGAAAACAATGAAAAACCACATGAAGTGAGTACGCATTCACATTATTGCTGGATTAAAAATTTGAGTAGATTAGTCGGCTCACAGTTGAGCAAACATGGACATAAATCATGGATATGCGATCGTTGTTTAATCCATTTCATTTCACATGAGAAATTAGAAAAACATAGAATATTATGTCAAAGTATGAATGAATGTGCAATTGAAATGCCAACCGTTGGAAAGAACTATGAAGCATTCAAAAATTATAAAAATGAGCTTAAAATACCGTTCATTGTATATGCTGATATAGAGTCATTGTTGAAGGAAGTCGAAAGAGAAGTCTTTAACCCAGGTTGCTCAACACAAGCTTATCAACATCATGAAATGCACAGTATCGGATATTATTTCAAGTGTGAAAACGATGAATCAAAATCATACTATGCAAGTTATCGTGGGCAAAACTGCGCTGAATGGTTTATGGAGGAATTGAAAGAAATTGCAAATAAAGTCTTTGAGTTTTTGGAGGATAAAAAACCAATGAATGCTTTAAGCGAAGAAGAAGAAAAAACATTTATGGAAACACCTATTTGTCACATATGCAAAAAAAGTTTCAACAACGATCAATCTGAACCTAATATGATTCGAGTGAGAGATCATTGTCATATATCTGGAGTCTATAGAGGTGCTGCACACCAATCATGCAATTTACAATATCAAATTAGTCGAAACATTCCTGTTGTAATGCATAATTTGTCGGGGTATGATTCACATTTATTAATCAGAAAACTTGGAAGCAACAAACAAATCCCTGGTGAAATAACAATCATCCCAAACAATTCAGAGAAATATATTTCATTCATCAAAACAGTGCATGATCTCGGATTACCCTATCAAAAACAAATTAAATTGAAATTTATTGATTCTTTACGTTTTATGTCGGCATCATTGGACTATTTAGCCTCGCTTATATCAGGTGAAAAAAAGCAAATTCTCAAATCTGAATGTATAAAATCAGGTTTTTGTTCAGATGAAATGTTTACTTTGCTGAATCGGAAAGGTGTTTTTCCATACGAATATATTAACGTGTATGAAAAACTTGAAGAGACTACGCTACCGCGAAAAGACAATTTTTTTAGCAGTCTAACTGAGACAAATATATCAGAAGAGGATTACATTCATGCACAGAATGTATGGAATAAATTCAAAATACAAACACTTGGTGAATATTCTGATTTATATTTAAAAACTGATGTGTTATTACTGGCTGATGTATTTGAGAACTTTAGAAATACATGCATTGCTACATATTCACTTGACCCTGCACACTATTTTGGTGCACCCGGTCTCTCATTTGATGCAATGTTGAAATACACCGGTGTTTCTATCGAACTCTTCACAGACGTGGATATGCTGATGATTGCAGAAAAAGGAATACGTGGTGGTGTGAGTCAAATAAATAAGCGATATACGAAGGCGAATAATAAATATATGGACAACGAGTTTGATCCTACAAAGGAAACTTCATATCTACTGTATTTGGATGGTAAAAATATTTGATTCATTATCATTTTTTAACGAACATATTGTAAATATTTGTTTATTTCATTTTGTGAAATTTAAAGCCAACAACTTGTATGGACATGCTATGTCTCAACGGTTGCCAATTGGAGAATATGAGTGGACGTCTGAGAGTGAAATCAAACGTAATTTCAATTCATCTGACCATCAAAAAAATGTAACGTCAATTTTAAATTTAAAAAACGACTCGGATACAGGTTACATATTTGAAGTTGATTTAGAGTACCCACAAGAACTTCATGATAAGCATAATGATTATCCATTTTGTCCCGAGCGTCGAATAATACCTGGTATATCAAAGAATGAGAAGTTATTGTTAACTTTTTATGATAAGAAAAATTATATCATTCATTATTCAATGTTGAAGCTAGCTCTCGAACATGGTTTGTTATTGAAAAAAGTTCATCGGGTGCTTCAGTTCAAACAATGCGCTTGGTTGAAGCCATATATTGATTTGAACACGAAACTTCGTGCTCAAGCCAATAACGATTTTGAAAAAGATTTCTATAAATTATTAAATAACGCAATCTATGGGAAAACCATGGAAAATCTACGTTTGCGTTCAGACATTAGGTTAGTAAATAAATGGTATGGTGGCGGTAAAAATTGTGGAAGGAATTTAATTGCACAACCTAATTTAAAAAAATGTACAATCTTCGAAGAAGATTTAGCAGCTATTGAACTACACAAATCGTGTATATTAATGAACAAACCAATCGTTGTAGGAATGTGCATTTTAGAATTATCAAAACTATTAATGTATAAATTCTTATACAATTACTTGAAACCGAAGTACGGACCCAATATTTTATTGATATACACGGACACAGACTCGTTTATCCTCGAGATAAAGACGAATGATGTATACGCAGACATTCGCGATGAGCCCAATGAGTTTGATACTTGGGATTACCCCGAGGGAAATATTTACGGTATTAAACGTCATAACAAAAAAGTCGTTGGAAAGTTCAAAGATGAGCTGAATGGTGAAATTGTGACTGAAGTTGTTGGAATGCGCTCAAAATGTTATGCTGTGCGCACAAAAATTGACAAAAACAAAAAAGATAAAGGTGTTAGGCAACATGTTATAAAAAAAGCTAAAGGTGTAAAGAAAAATGTACTGAAAAATCATATTTCATTTGAGGATTATTATAATTGCATAAAAAATAATTCTATTGAAATGAGAAAGCAAAATTCGATTCGTTCGATAAAACATGAAATATACACCATTTCAATGCAAAAGATTGCACTGAATCCGTTTGACGATAAACGATATATGATTAAGCCAGATGGTATTGATACGCTCGCTTGGGGTCACTATAAACTCGATTCTGAAAAAATGACTAGTGAATATCAATATGTATCAGATATTGCAGAAAGTATGAAGGGGATTTTGAAATAATAATCATAATAATAATACAGACATGTAAACATTTTTTATTCAATAAAAGAAATATTTCAATAAAATCACAATTTTCTTATTATCTAGAAAAAAAAATCCAATTTTAATGAGCAATTCTTCCAACCTTTGTTTTCTTAATTCAAATCGATGTCTATCTAAAACGTTGCTTATCCAATTACTTTTCCGTGCTTCACGATATGCGAATGACCAAACATGCATATTTAGAATTTTGTCAATCGATTCAAACCTCACTTTTTTCATCTTCTTATTAATTAATTTATTCATTTATTTAACTTTTCAATGTTGAAACAATATAACATTCTCTGGTCTACGATGTGCAAATTTCTCCAGTGCAGCTGTTTCGTATTCGATGAGACGTTCAAATACTGGACATGTTTTGCAAGTACATATATCCCATTTGGAATTACATGTAAACGGATTTTTATTGACGGAAAAAACATCTACATCTGCTAATGGTGTAGTCTTTACAAGACCGAATGCTGTCACTGGTCCTATAGTCAATCTATGAATTCCAAATTTGATTTTAAAATCACCATCGAATGGTAACTGTTTAATACTCAATACACTTTCATTTAATTTTTGCACATCTGATTTGCTTGCGGTGGGCAATATCGCTTGTGGGATTTGGAGCGCATATAATTTACTAATCAACCATTTGTATTCATCATGTGGAAAATGTAAATGTTTATAGTCCGAAAGATTAAATATTGTGAGACAATAACGCAATCCATCTACTGTTTCAAATTCGCGAATACGACAAAGACTTCCACTAAATGCATACTCGATGATTGCAGTTGGTTCTCTCATGCGATATAAACGATTGCAAAAACAAGTTTTCATTTTTTTTCTTTACTTTTTCACTCAATACTGACTGTATTACACCAAAGTTAGAATATAACTAAATACATACATCAATATGTTACTAAATATATGAATGAAAGATGTTGTTTTTCAAGAGTGATAAGATTCATTTGATGTAAACTATAACAAAAAATCTAAAAAATGATCTTCCAGGCTACACGTTTTGTTTGATGTTTTTTTTTATGTTGATTTTGTTGTTGTTGGTGATGTTATTGGTGATGTTGTTGATCGTAATGATGTTGTTGTTGTTGATGATGGTAATGGTGTTGTTGTTGTTGTTGTTGTTGATGGAAATTCAATCCTTTCCCCATTCATCGAGTTGTAAATAATAATTCCACCGACACCGAATATCCACACAATCACAATCAAATAAAAACACAACCATGAACGTGATAAGCAAACATTATTTAGATTGCATCGATGATTTTCCATGTTGCTTTGCTTTTATTTTATTTTATTTTAGTTTTTCACTGACACTTGTATCATACAACAGTCTGAATAAAACTACTTTTATGCATCAATATGTCAATGAATATATACCATTTGAAACATCTTGTTTTTAAGGTGAGAGGATTTAGTCAAGTAATTTGCTTTCCGGAATCCATGAATTATATTCATCGCTGAAACCAAGCCATTTCACGTACACTTGTCCATTTCTCTTACGAAGTATCTTCTCAACGAGATATTCTTTTGGATTTTTAACATGTTGAAGCTCTTCTGCATACATTGAACCGTGAATTTCTTGATCATTCCAATCTTTGAGCAGATACGTAATTGGATCTGTATTATACTGAACTTTTCTTACTCTAAAAATTGCTGTCGTCCAATTAGGCGTATAGCTTTTATCAAACACAGTTCGTTTATCACTCAATCTCACGTAATCACCAACTTTAAATTTAGCCATTCGACGTTCAGAATATTCACGTTTGTACTTGTACACAGTATCGAGAAGTTGTTGTTCATTCTCATGCGTCACCTCATTGGGTTTCATTTTTATTGTTCTATGACTGGTAAGAGAGAGAGAGAAAGAGAGAATATTATTACATGATGACATTTTTTTATTATATGATAATGATAAATGGTACTTACCGTGTGTTATTATATGTATGAATGATTTTTTGAAGAGAATCATACCATTTGGTTGACTGTTGTAAACTGAATTGCATATACAGTTTTCGTTTGATGGTACGGATTAAACGTTCAACGATGCTCGCCTTTTTAACACTATATGTAGAATAATGATTAATGTTGTCATATTGTGTGAGTAATCGTGTCATTGTACTGTTGAAAAATTCTTTCCCATCATCAGTGTGTAAATTTCGAATATGTTGTCCAACTTGAGTAAAAAAATTTTCCATTGCTCCAGTCGTACTTTTCGCTGTTTTATCTTTCAATGGTTCAGCGTATGCTCTTTTCGAGAAAACATCGATGACAATTAAAATGTATCTGTAACCACGATTATTTTTTTTAAACGACTGCATATCGATAAGATCAGCTTGCAATGTGTCGGCAATACCACGCATTGAATATTTGCGTCGCTCGTAATTTTTTCGAGCATAACGATGGATTTCTTTTACTATTTGCTGTTTAGTCATTTTTCACGCTCACGTATTACTATTTGTTACTAATTTATTCATGAAACTTTTTATAGTTTTTGTAACGTCAATGTACTCATTTACACACTTCTTTCAACAATTCCATCGGAAGGTGAATATACAAACGCATTTTCGTAAATAATCAAACAATAAGCGGAACATTTAGCTGGTAGATTATGCGTTGCTTTTATATCCAATCTAATATCAACTGCACCATTTTTGATAGTTTCATCAGATCGTGAAACATCAAATGCAAACATTATATTTTTCTGGAAGTCACCAAAATTGATAGCAAACTGATTTTTATTTTCCACACCGTGATAATATGATGACTGAATATTTGCATAAGCCTCATATAACTCTGAATACCTTCCTGCAGGTATATCCAATTCATGCATATGATATGGATATACTTGTGAATTCAGATGTAAACGTACACTGTTGATTCTCAATGAGTTGAATTTTGATGCATCCGCAGTTTTATTCTCTTTTTTATCATACTGAAATGCAACTAAAACATATCTTGGTTTATTCCAATGTGAAACTGCTTTAACAGTCCATACATGATTCATTGTTTGAGGGAGCTCTGGATACTCATACAAATCCCATGATCGATGCTGTATGGTAAATCTTTTATTCTTAGACAGAAATCCATTCATATTCATTTTTACTCTGTCTGCTAATATAATGTGTGGCATCTTCCATTCTAATTTAGTAATCTCAATCTTTACATTGGTAGAACCATCAGTACTTAGTCCAATTCAAGCTATTTCGTGCTCGCTGTAATATTAACTCATGTCGACTATTCAAAATAACTTTTTTGTAATCATCGCAAAATCCAAACCAAATTTTCAACGGAATCATTACATCATAAGACAACGTTGAATGTTTACTTTGTGCTACTCTATTAGTGAATGCTTCATTGAAATGATAATATCCAACCAGATTCGATGGGTGTGAAGCTGCAGATAGTTTCAATGTTGATGTTATCCCAACATTTCTTATACGATCAATTTCAACACCATTCAATTCATAACGAGCATCGCTGAATAAAAACGATGGAAAATTGTGCACAAATTTAACTTTTTCAGCAGCATTTTCATCATTTTTTCAGTTATTACATTAATGCGCACGTAGAGATATGATTCACTTGGTAGCAAACATGAGTCTTGATTTTGAATTACAATACGAATCTCTTCTGATTCACTGAACGAATTAGTAAACGGTGTGTATGTATACAATTGGTTTTTTATTATTGCATTATCCTCAGCAGCAATTCCTCCGATATTCAAAATATCGCTGCTATTTTTATACATTGCTCACTTTTTTTTCTTTGAATGTTTTATCTTAATACTTTCCCACTCTATCACTGTTCTATATTTTGTTTCACTTTAAGTCCGAGACCTTCCAAAAATTTAATGTTTTTTTTTGAAATTTTTTTCTTCTGTTTCCTGGATTTCTTTTGACTCTTCTCACCCAACGCTTCTGGTTGAATAGCACAATATTTTCGATTGTTTAAACTTTTATACTCTTTTTTCACGTTTTTTCTTTTATTTTTAAAATCGTCAAAGCTTTTCAAACTAGTGTTGCGGTTATGATAGATTAACATGTTTAAATTATTTTTTTAGTTGCTATCTCTCTTGATATGAATTCGGCAAATGATATCACCTCCGTAAATATTTACAAGTCTTCCTTTATGATCAACAATGGAAATTTGAATGGAAGACAAATACTTGGTTTTAACTGGGAAATAGATGAGATGTTTCGAAATTTCCACAAATGTTTGACCTTTCGCATATGATGCACTGGAAGCAAACTGATGAATTGTATGACTCTGCGATCCATTTATATACGAATCGGAGATTATATCACAATTTATGCGCAATTCACCCAATTTTATTATTTCCTCCAAATTTTCACAATTTTTGATAATAAAATTAAGTAGTGCACAACTATATTTACAATCTCCATCTAGTAAGATTTGAGGCAAAAAACTAGAATGAAGTACCGATGAGGTACCTGTAAAAGCAACTGTAAGTGATGATGTCGATGTCATTTTCAGAGTATACTGCATGAAAGACTGATTTATTCATACCACAAGACATTGATCTTTATAGTTTTTCCACGATTATTCAATAGGATAAAGTTGAATAATAATATTTTGTTGATAATAAATTATCACTTTTATATAAAAAACGGTCATTCATCATCAAGATGCAGTTCGTTAAACATTCAATTGATATTCCGGTTGGAAATATAGATGCACGTACATCTACATCTAATAATCCATCTAAACGGATACGTCATAGTGTTCTTTTACCAAACAATGTGCGTTGCGTTATAGCAGGTCCATCCGGATGTGGAAAAACGAACGTTCTCATCAGTTTGATTGAGAGCGAACATGGATTGAAATTTGAGAATTTGTACATATATAGTAAAACATTGGACCAAGAAAAATATAAATATTTGTGTGAAATGCTGCAATCAATAAAAGAAATTGGTTGCTACACATTCGCAACATCTGAAAATGTTATCGACCCGAGTCAAATGAAAAAAAATTCACTAATTGTGTTCGATGATGTGATCAACGATCGTGCGATTAATAAAACAGTGGTGCGTAATATTTTCACACTCGGGCGACATCGCAGTCTCGATGTGGTTTACATTGTTCAGAGCTATACCAAACTTAATAAACATCTTATTCGTGATAATTGTAATTTCGTAATTTTGTTCAGACAAGACGATCTGAATTTAAAACATGTTTACAACGATTTCAGTGTGAATGCTGATATGACGTTTGAACAATTTCGTGAACTTTGCTGGGAATGTTGGCGTGAACCTTTTGGTTTTGCATGCATTTCTCTTGAGCATGAAGTTAGCTCAGGTCGTTATCGCAAAAATTTCAACGAATATCTACAAATTCATATATAAAGCGGTGTGTGAGCAGTTAATGAATTTAATCATTCATTCAAATCTGTTTTCAATTTAAAAAATGGATCAGATTAATGTGTCAAAATTAACTGCCACGCAAAACATTATCAGAAAAAAATTTGAAAATGCTTATAAGATTCGAGTCGAACATGAAAATAATGTGAATCAAGCAATAAAACCAGTCACACCGTCAACAATCTTATTAACAAACGATTCGGAAGTTGAAATAGATGACTTTCCGAATCAATCATTTGAATC